AATTTGTAAACAAACCCTTACATTTAGGCAAGTCCTGCCCCGGCTTTGTGCTGGGTGTTTTTTCTTCCCTGAACAATGTCCTTTCCAGGAGGGCCAGCGGTTCACACCATTGTCTGAGACCCTTGGACTACAGGAAATAGCACCAGATTCTTATCAACTGGGGCAGCCAGGCAGAAGTAGTGTGGAGTGGCCGGATGAGATCATGTCCATAAAGCAAGCTGCTAGTCTGAGACATCATTCTTGTATTCCTTTATCTGTGAGCGCAGAGCCTGCCTTGTCTTCCCAACAGGCCAGGGTTGGCTGCAACTGTCCATAGTACGGTCCCTCCGTATGATGGCAGACACCTGGAATCTGGTCCATGCTTCTGCCAATTTGGCAGTCCTGTCATAGCTATCTACCTGGTTGTCCTTCTCTGTTCAGTGAGACACCTAAGGCAATGAAACAGGCACCATTCATTGGACTAGGGTGTCTGCTCTGGGCATCTCCCCAAAGGAAAGATTGGGCTGCAAACCCCTGAATGCAAGCTCTTACCTGATTGCGGAAGGCCTGACAAGAGGATAGTCCAGCATCTCTTACAAGGCCTCCTTTCCTCTTTGTAGCAGTTCCCACCCCCAGAGTAGAACGACTTTGTTAAAGGTTCAACTAAGGAGCCAGGCCTTTCCACAAGGAAGCTCCCGTGGAGAAAGTGAAAGGCTCCATTAGGTTGTAGTCTCTAGGGAACAGGGTCCTTGCATGGTAAAGATGGCTGGGGGCTGGGCAGTGGAAAGTGGCCACGGGCCACAGCTGCCTTCCTCATCTCCTGTACATGTGAGTGAGTCCAAAAGAGAAAGCGGGGTGGAGGTGCAACAATCCCCAAGCTCCTTATCAGATACTGTGGCCAAATCCAGCCCTGCCCACTCGGAGTTCCTCTCCGAGTTTATAATCTTAGAAAACCCTAGGGATTTGTTCTTTGTATGTGTTGAACTTTCTCCTTATGGAGTCCTCTGCAGTTTGGGACTGGGATGAAGTTAGGTTGGGTCTTCTAACCAAATAGTTCTGAGCAACTAGTTCTAAGACATGGTTGCCAGGGAAGCCTCCATTTGCTGGGCTGGCAGAGGCAGGGGAGCTGTCCTCTGGGTCCCAGCTGGCCGGAGCTTCTGCCAGCTCCTCTGCTCTGTGAAGGGAGCACAGCTTGGCTGGAGATAGGCCAGGCGCCTGGAGGCTGCTAGCTGCCCATTCTCCCAGGGACTGGGGTGACTTCACCCACACTTAGCTAAGTGAAAGGGAAGCAGAAAAACCATTTGAGAAAGCATGAAAGGTGGTTTTGTTCCCTTATTTTTCCCCCACCTTTCCTGAGAAATTACTCATCAGGATTGCAGGATAGCCACCAGTTTGGGGTGTTTCCTAGCCCCCAAAGAAGACCACGCCAAACACAAGAGGGAAAAACGAGGCTGAGGTGGCAGGCTGGGTGTGACAGGACAGGAGCCAGAGGCCAGGCAGAGCCTGGGGCCAAATGTCATCAGACTGGTGGCTTGGCAGTCCCATCCCTGGGTAGCAAGTCCTACTCTGGGGAAGGCCATAGGAAACCAAGATGTGACTGGCACCCAGGAGGTTGGGGCATCTAGAGTTTAGAGGCTTAGAAGGCAGCAATGAACAAACAGCTGTCATAGCTATCTACCTGGTTGTCCTCTGTTCAGCGAGACACCGAAGGCAATGAGACAGGCACCATTCGGTGGAGTAGGAAAGACTCTAAACGTTTTTCCAAAGTACTCTTCAAAACACAAGGTTCTAGCTGTTCCATGGGAAAAGAGAGAACCAAAGGTTTTTGGAGGTGCACAGTGGGCCAGAGATATAGCTCAGGGGTTTAAGTGTCTTCCTGGCAAGTACAAAGTCCTGAGTTCAATCCGCGGGACCACACACACACACACACACACACACACACACACACACACACAAAGATAAACCTAGAGATGCACAGAGCATGCAGTCATCATGTAAATGAATGAAGAACTATCACAGGACTTCACAGGGCAGGTACACAGGCCCCACTCAGCTCTGCAGGGGCCCAGGGGGCAGAGGTGCTCTAATTTGATATAGAAACTATGAGATGGCGAAGGATCTCCAGGGACTAGCTTTTCATAGGGTCCCATTTTGGAAACACTCAAGTCATCTTTTCAACTCTAACCCCTTTCCAGCTCTAAACCTGTTTGGGAAACCATGAAACCAAAGCCCAGGGGAAGTATGAGACTTACGGGGGGAAACCGTAAGAGGAAGACAGAGGGCGAAATTCCTGGAGCAGGAAATAGTCTCAGGATGGGATGTGGGGCGGGCGCAGAGAGACATGGTGGGGCAGGGGGCGTCAGAGCACGACCGCTCAGGCTCAGCTGAGGCGCTGGGCTGCCTGGGAGCTGGGGGTTCTGGGAGCCTTATTTACATACTCTGGCTACACCAACGCCAAGTAGGTACTTGATGATGCCTCAGTCAGTGGTGGCTCGGGGTAAGCTAACAGAGCTTTACGCTTTGTCAGGCAGAGGTGTTTGTGGAGAAGGCAGGATGCAAAAGGAGACCCCCAGCTCCAGGGCCAGGCTATAAGATGGGACCAGCGGCTGAACTATTTAGTCTCCTAAGCTAGATCATAGGTGAAGATGTTCATCCAAGCGAGAGGCCCAGGGCAGCATCCTTGGAGGTGAGGTGATGTCGGTCCCTCTCTGTGGCTTTTCCGTCTCCCTTTAGCCCAGTGGAGCCTGCTCTTCGGGCAGGAGGCATCATCAAAGTCGCAGCATGCCTCCTAGGTCAGATTCTCAGGGCCTCCTCTCCTCCAGAAGATGCGGCCCCCACACCACAGCACAGCCCAGGAATGAGGTCGCTGGCCTCAATATACATCGGTATGTGGCTTGCGATGCAGACAGCACCAGGCTGAGTGTCTCCATTACAAATGTCAAGTGTCGTGAAAAACGAACACAGCTGCCTACGTGCCTGGCTGCCCTCTGCCAGGACTTTTTTCCTTGCTCAAGATCCTCTTGAAGTCCCAAAGAGGTCAGTTTTACAAGCCCTCAGGACAGGATTTTTCTATTTTAATGAGCAATCTCATCTTCATAGACAAAGCCCTCTGACTCCTTCCTTCCCCTGCTAAACCCATTTCCCTTTGCTAGAAAATACCATCCAGGCCGACCTTCCCCTCCCAGAAGAAACGGGGTGGGTTCTCCTTTTCCAGATTAGGCAGGCAGTCAACTTAGCAAAGAAATACAAAGATACGATTATGATATGATTATGTGACATAAATATCAACTTCATCCCTTTCCTTGTAGGCTCTGCTTTCTTCTCCAGATTTCAAGGACAGTTATCACAATAGCAATGACAAGAATGACAAAAATAACAATAGCAATGACAAGAGTGTACTCTGAAGACAGAATATTCACAAGGCCCATCTTGACCTCCAAACACAGACGTGAGGTTCCCACATAGAAGGCATTTCTAGGAGTACCATGAGGAGCACGGCAGTTGGTAGAAGCTGTCCGTATTTTTCCAAGAGCAGGTGTGTAGTCTTCAGGATCTTGTGTTCCTCCTCTCCGTTCTCCAGAGTCGTTGCCCCAAAGGACCCAGCCTGGAGCCTTCAAGCCTAGGCCCTGCCCAAAGCCTACTAAAGCCTCAGTTATCTTTTGCTAGATTTCCAGGGATGAAGGGGTAGAGTAGGCTGCAGCTCTAATACCCTTTACTGGAGCTCTGCTTTCTCCTCCACCTCTCTCATGGCCCCATCTCCCTTTCCCTTCCTTCCTCCAGCCACACCCCCCTTCCTGCTCATCTTTTCTGTCTTTGCCAGCTGATATCCCACTAGACAGCCCCTCCAAGCCAGAAGAATTCTCAGGTTGTTCACAGGTTAATTTTCGTCCTTCCAGTTCACTTGCCTCACAGTCAAGGAGCAGAAGCGGGGACTATTTCAGATCCCAGTACTCTGGCATGGTCAAGATGCAGGAGATAAAACCCAAGGCGCTCAGAGTTGGAGTCTCCATGGGACAGGAAGCCGTGATTGGATCCCCACCCCTTTCTTTCTTTCTTTTTTTTTTTTTTTAAATTAGGGAATCCCAAAGCCTTGTCTCCAGTCAGTTTTGTGGGTCACTAACTTGTTCCTGTGCAGTCTGGGAACACATTTTCACTTAGTTTTCCTCCACCTGCCCTATGCTCCCTAGCCTGAGAAAGTGCTGATGACAAAAGCACCTCCCTTCACATCCCCCAAATGTGACCTCCTCATATAAGCCTCATCACCCAGAACCAGCATTTTTTTTTTCTCTACATTTTCCCCCATAAAAGAAAAAAAAAAAAAATGGAAGGGGTGGCGCTGAGGATAAAGCTGAGTGGTTGAATGCTTGCTTAGAATGACAAGGTCCTGGGTTCCACCACAGAAGGGAGGAAGGGAGGAAGTGAGACAGGAAGGGAGGGAGGGAGAGAGGGAGGGAAGAAGGGAGGGAGGAAGGGAGGGAGGGAGAAAGGGGAAAAGGAAGAAAAAGAGAGAGAGAAAAGAAAGAAAGAAAGAAAGAAAGAAAGAAAGAAAGAAAGAAAGAAAGAAAGAAAGAAAGAGAGAAAGAGAGAAAGAGAGAGAGAGAGAGAGAGAGAGAGAGAGAGAGAGAGAGAGAGAGAGAGAAAGAAAGAAAGAAAGAAAGAAAGAAAGAAAGAAAGAAAGAAAGAAAGAGAAAAAGAAAGAAAAGCAGGCCAGACTTTCAAATAAACTATCCACGCTCAACACTTATTTAGCAGAAAATACAGACTCTGGGGAACATCTGGTCTTCCTATGGCTCCTGAACTAATTAATATCAACTTGAGCTCTTCAAGACACCGCTTCTGGATTTGTAGTCTATCCCAAGGGCCTCCCACCCTCCCTCCATGTTCATAGCTTCTCAATTCTCTGTGGTCCTGGAAAAAGTCCTGGTTCCAGTACTGATCCCCAGCTACAGCCCACAGAGCCTCCACAATCCTACCTTCACAGCTCTGGGGTGCCTGCTTTGCCCTGGAAAGATAGCCCGTTCCTCCTACCCCTACCCTTCTCCAGCTCTTTTGGAGCAGGTCTCCCATGGACATCTCCTCATCCGAGATGGCAGTTAGCATTCCCTAGGTTCAGCGGTGAAGAAACCAGCACACCTGCTGCAGAGGGCCGCTTGTCATCATGGAAAGCTCTGGAAGCGTTGCCACCACTGCCCCAGATCTGTCCCTCTCCCTTCTCAGCATGGGAACCTCACAGTAAGGAGTGCTAGGGGTGGAGTCTGGCGGGAGGTGTGGGCATCCCAGCAAACCTGGCCTGACAGTTCAGGGCTGGAGAAGGGAGGTGAGGCTGTGAGGTCCCTCTCCCTGGTTTATAAAGTGGGATCTGCAGCCTAGACCCCTCCTGGATAACCAGATAACAGGATAACCGGCAGCTGATGCCTCTGTAATTCTGAGATGCAGAAGAGCTGACAGACACAGCAGGGAGCCACCAACATAACAGGACATGAAAGGAAGGGGTAGGGTGTTGCTGCTCTACTTTCTCAACAGCCCCGTTTTCCCTCCCCAGCTCTTTTCTCAATAGGGCTACCTTAAGAGGCTTCTACCTTCCTCGGGCTGCCTGAGGGCCCTTGCCTGGATACTTCCTTAGCGCTACCCCCATGCCCACTCTGAGGGTCACTTAGAATGCCCTTTGTTCTGCAGGCTGGGAAAGAACCACCCAACCCTCTCGCCTTGGGCACAACCGGAAATGTGCTCCGGAAGCCAGGCCATCTCTGAGAACAAATGGCAGCTCCCTTGGGGCTGCTGAGGGCCAGAGCACACCAGCTTCAGTCTGAGACTCAGAAGACAAAGAGGGGCAGGGAACAGGCCTTAGGCACAGGGCCCTTCCTTTATGCCACTGGCCTTTCCTGAGTCCATAAGAGGCAATTGGGCATCCTGGTCCCTCTGCTCTGGCTGGGTAGGTGGACATCTGGAGGTTGCTGCCGGTTCCCCTGACCAAGCCCCTATCGGCCCTCATCTATGTGGCCTCCACCTCCCGAGGTGTCCGGTTGCGCTCAGCCTGGCCCCGACTCTTTACCTTCTTGCCCAGCACCAGCCCTGCCCAGCTTTTGCCCTTGGCCTGTTTTCCCTGGCTTCGGAAAGAGCCTGACCGCTCCCCGCTGCCTCTGCACCACACTCGCTCACAGTACTCGTCCACCTGAGGCAGGTGCGCAAAGCCAGTGAGCTGCAGGACGTCTTTATACCAAGCCTTGGGGGGAGCAGAGGCCAGGCCTCCCCGAGCTGGAGGCAGCTTCAGCCCCGGCTCTCCAGGGAACAGACTGTCCAGCTGCGTGGCCACAATCACCTCCAGAGCCAGACGGACCACGGTCTGGGAGAAGCCGCGCTCCAGTGTTGTGCAGGTGTAGGTGCCAGCATCAAGGCGGCTGAGTCTGCGGAACAGCAGCCCCTGCTCTGTTTGCAGGACTCGCTCGTCTGTCTTCACCTGGCGAGCGAGGAGAAGGCACAGGGATCCGCGGAGGGACAGAACCTGTGCCACCTGCGCCTTTGTCCCCTGCTTTTCCATGCTCAACACTTATTTAGCAGAAAATACAGACTTGCTATCCTCAGGACTCTGCGTGGGTACTTCTCGCCTTGCCCACTCTCCCCTTCCCAGGGGGCACCAGCAGCTTGGTGAGCTAACTATAGGCAGAACTTCCCCTTCCATAATCCAGGAAAGAGACTGCAAAGGCGGTCAAAAATTTAAATGACTAATGTCTGCGCCAGTCACAGCCCTGGGGGACAGATCTTGGCCTCAGTGAGCCCAGTACGCACACAGCCAGGAGGCCGGAGGGTCTCAAGGGTACCACAGGCGACCAGGTGGGACTCCCTGTCTCAATCTGCCCTGTTCACTCTGCAGTGTGAGGCCAACAGCCCGGGCCTGGATGGCTGAGTGCCTACTTAAGTATGGGAAGTGGGAGTGTGGCTCTAGGCCCAGCCCTGTCTAGGCTTCAGTTTGTCTCTGTGTGCGGAGGGAGACTGCTTGGGAGGTTACTGTTGCACAATTCTTCCCGTGGCTCCTTCCTACCCCAGGGAGTCTCCTCAGTGCCCAACCCAACAGCTGGCCCAAAGCTGGCCTCCCCTAGTTCCCAAGCTGGAGGGGGAGCCCCTCCTGTAATCAACACTCCCTCTCCCCTCCCCTCCCCTGTGGGAGAATGGTTCTCACCCTGCCCAGCCTCAAGCCCCAGACTGAAGCCATCTGGGGGATGAGGAGATTGGAGGGGTGGTGATAGATTCTTCTGATGGGAGGACATGGCCTGGGCAAATAGCTGCTCTCCAAGGAAGAAGCATGGAGCCAGGAAGTATGGAGGTGGGACAAGATCCAGTGATCAGGGACAGGCCTCATGCAGCAAAGAACCCCTGGGGAAGAGACCCTTCCAGGGTGAGTAACCAGGGTAAGCATGGGGCCTGCTGGACGGACTCTCACAGGTCTCCTTCCCCCTCTTCTAGTCACCTCTGGCCTGGACATCCCCAGAGGCAGAAATAGGGGCACCTCCTCCTAGGCACGCCAGGAAGAAATATGCGCTTTCTTAGATTGATCTTAGCAAATTTATCTTTGCTCCAAAGCCCCTTCCTCGGGCTGAGGGCTTAGGGTTCAGGGCTGGAGGTAAGGTCCTTCCTTACCTGGTCAGGCTGCTCATCCTCTGACCTCTGCAAGAACCAGTGCACGGCAGCCTGGGGAGACTTGGGCATGCACTCCAGGAAGGTACTGTTGTGCTCCGTGCCATAGACTCTGGTGGCCTCCAGTGCTGGAGCCCCCTCTACAGAGAGGGCCAATTGGATCACCTTGGGAACAAGGGGCCCCAGGCCCACAGGGCCACCAACTGACTCCTGCCCACTATTGTGTTAAGGATTGTCACTCCCTAGCCCAGCACTGCACCCCAGGAAACCCACACATGTACTGATTGCAGCTGTACAGATAAACTCTTACAACAAGATTGGTCTGAGGTAATTTTTACAGGGAGGACACCGAGGCCTCAGGACAAGCAGGGACCCACTCACCATCCTGGCTCTGGCCCAGGCACTGTGTGGCAGGATTGCCATGCCGGATGTCCTGCCGGCGGAACCGGCGCTTGCCCGGACTGGGGCGGTAGCGGGTACAGGAGGCACCATCCCAGGCACAGTAGGGGTCCCGGGCCAGGCAGCACTCTGCACAGGCACTACCGTAGGTCTCACACCCATGCAGCCGCAGCTGGGCCACACCCAACGGGGAACACACGTACAGCGTTTGCTGGGGAGGAACATAAACAGAGCTTGTAGGGGTTCTGGCCTGCACTGAGGAGCACCAAGGCGCCCAGCCCCTGGGTTGCCCGAGATTCTGCCACATTCAGGAAGTCTTCCAGAGCCTCCTGGATTCATTCATAAAAACAAGGATGTTTCTCACCCACCTACCGTGTAACAGACCTTGCGGTAGGAGGTGCAAGGGTTAGAGTTTCCTCCATCTTCTAAGGGATTTCTCCAGGCTTCCCTGCTGTTGGCCTTTGCCTTCCACCCCAGTGGCTTTTACTGGACTGGCCTCTGATTCTAAAGATGTGCTTTACTTTAAGCAGGCCTAGCTGTACTAGGAAGTTGGAATTTACTGACTGGACTCAGTATAGCATTTGCAATTTGTAAAACGGCCCACAGCAGGCTTCTAAAAGTGGCTCCCTTGTTTGATCTAAAATCTGACTTTATTTTTTTATTTTTTTTTTGGCAGAACCAGAGATTAAACTCAGGCCCTTGCACTTGCCAGGCAAGCACTTATTCTACTGAGCCATCTCTCCGGCTAAAATCTGACTTTATTTCCAAGAACATTTCACCTTCCTGAAAAACTGGACTGAAAAAAAAAGAGCCAGACTTCATGGCTCTGTCCTTATCTCGTCTGCCCAGTGCCATTCCTGCCCACTGTTGCACTTAGCCAAGCCCAGTTCCCAGCAGGTTTGGCCCTTACAAGGCCTACCCAGGCTGCTTAGCGCGGTTCTCTGGCACACTACGGCAGTGCTCAGGGGGGCTACAGAAGGGCAAGGAGATGGGGACACGTGAGAAGGGGGCAGCTGCGCTTACCCTTTTGACGGAGATCTCCATCTCGATGATGGGCGTTGGCACCTGGGGAAGAAGTAGGGTCTCAGGGTGGGGGGATAAGACCCTCCGCAGCATCATTGCTTTCAGCCTCCTTCACGGCCCAGGCGGGGCCCCCGATCTCCCAGCCTGCTGGCACCTTTCTGCAGCTAAGCCTGGATGATCTTTCTTGTCATCATCAGGTTACAAAAAAGAGTCTCCTCTTCTCTCAGTGGGGGACTTAGCTCAAAGCGCAGGACTCCAGTGTCCCTCCTCACAACCATGTTCCCCAGAAAGGAGGTACTGTCCCCCACCATCCATCTTGTGTCCAGCAGAGCAAATGGTCCCCCAAACACAGACAGCCCCCTGCCTGGCTCTACAGAGGGGCCAGCAGAGTCCTTGGGAGCCGGGGACTTTCAGCTACCTCCTCACTGTAATGTGGGCCCTGTAGGACCTTGTTGAGGTGCTCAGCTTGGTCATCCCTCCCGGGAGCTGCCCTCAGCCCACAGGCCATGGCTCTAGGCCCCTCAGTCATGCAGAAACATCAGTGAGCCCTCAACAGCAGTGTGTACCAGCACTTCCAGAGTCCCCTAGGCTTGCTGAGGATACAGCCTCAAGCCCAGGGACAGGATGGAGGCTTTCCCATTGGCCCCTGCTCACCTTAAACACCTGGAGCTCCTCCAGCAGCACCTCTTCGGGCTCAGCCGAGCCTGCTGCCTGGAGAGCCAAGACCTTGAGCACAGAGCCTGAGTCTGGGCAGCAGTGGAGAGGTCAGCAGGGGAGAGAAGGGGATCCTATCCCCAGCCCCAGCCTAGCCCCTGCTCTCAGCGCTCCTACCGGTCCCCAGGAAGATGACATCATAGGTCCCATCCTCAGCCTCCACACGGTCCACCACAATCTGCCGCAGCCTCTGGGCCGGGTTAGTCTTGATAAGGATGGGCCGTCCGTGCCAAGGCCGCACAGGCTGGAACATGAGGGGGTGGGCTCTGACAAACTGCAGCACCTCGTCAGGGTAGTCCTTGGTGCCGCCAAAAGGTCGTCCTGGCTTTGCAGTCATTTTGCTGGGGCACTGCAGGCAGCAGCAAAGAGAGCACCTAAGTTCCCCGAGGTGGCACACCCCCACCCCCATCCCTGTCCCCAGTCTGTTTCTGGCCCCACTGGGAACCTCTCCCATCTCCTGCCACACTCCACCCCCGCTCCCCTTGGGTCTACCAGAGCCCCACCTATCCCTGCCATGCAGCTGCACATGGACCTGGGCTTTCCAAAGAGGAGTCCGTCCTCACATCTGCTTGGGCCTCCCCTGCCAAGCAGATACTCACTACGCCCGGGCGGGGGAAGGGCACTTTGCCCCCATAGGGTCCCCACTGGTGCTGAGGACCATCTTGGTGGGCAAAGGGCCCATTGAAAACCTCCCAGATGTCCACCATGTGGTATACACAGACGGCGAAGCCCTGGAACACAGCACTGCCAAGGACAGGAGAGGTCAGGCCAGGGTTGTTGTCCTAGGCAGGAGGGGAACAGACTGGGTCCATAGCAGAGATGACAGTGCATGCTGCAGACAGAAGCTGAAAGGCAAGGACACTGAGGCAAAGAAGGAGATGGAGAACACAGTCACAGAGTCAATGAATCAAGGACAAAGAAACAGACTCACAGCAAGGATGGGACAGAAAGGCAGGGGCTCAACAGAGGGACCACAAGTGCGGAGATGGGGCTGGGGACAGTAGGTAGGGTTCAGGGATGCCATGTGTGCCCACCTGACAGTGCTGAACAGTGCATACACTTCAACGTTCTTCCCTGCCTTGGGCCACAGCAAGAATACATCCTCTGGGACACAGAAGGGGCACAGGGTCACGCAGTGCCAAGACACGTCCTTGCCAGCTCTGAGTCCTTCCCTCCCAGCACACAGGCCTGCCTAGCCACGCCCTTACCCAGCTGGTCAAAGTGGGTCTCAGCGCCTCCAGGACCAGGCACCGAGCAGACCAGCCTGGCCTTGAGGAAGGTGCTCCATTTGTTCACCAGCACCCTCTGGCCACCAGCATCATTCTGGGGGTGGGGGCCGGAGTCAGCCATGGGCTCTGCAGGACAGGCCCTGTCACTGCCTCCTCCTCCTCCTCCTCCTCCTCTTCATCCTCCTCCTGTGCTGCCACCACCCTTGCCCATGGAGGGGATGCATGACCATCAGCTTGGCACCCTCTCCCGGGGTTCCCTGTGGGAGGCGCACAGTCTGGGATAGGGCTCACTGCCCCATCATGGCTCTTACCACACAAACGCGGCCCACACGGCTGACAGTGATGTGGCCAGGGCCACCATCGGGTGATGGGACAGTCTCAGAAAAAAAGAAGTACACCTTGTCGTTGTCCCGGTCAGAGTTGTCAGGGATCCGTGCAGCCATCACAAACCGAGGATCTGGGAGAACCACAGCGGGTGATGCTGGGGAGAGGCTCACGGGGATAAGAAGGGGCTGGATCCAAAAGGGAGAGGTCTCCATGGGGACCCCACTGGAGGCATGAGCCCCACAAAGTGAGGGGCCTTCCCTCCCCACTTCAGTATCTCCCCTCTTGCCAAGGGCAGGGTGGGGCCCCAGCCAGCCTTGCCTCACCAAGAAGGACACTTTGATCAGAATCTGAGCGCAGAGCTGGCCGGGGACCCCCGCTTCGGAAGATCATGGCCTCCCGCCCCAGGAAGTCAGCAGTGAGGCCAGTGTACAGCTCCCCACCTGGAGTTGGGAGGGACAAAGTCAGCAGAGGAGGAGGTCAGGCTGCCCTTCCTACCCTCCCCATGCCTACTCTGGCCTGGCATCACCCACCTACAAAGGTGCTGGCGAAGGGGCGGCTGGGCTCATGTGGGCACCGTCCCCGTCCATTCTGCAGGCTGCTGGGCTCCAGATGGAGCACATGCTGGGGGGCGGGGGAGGTGTCACCTGGAGAAGTGGCTCTAGCTCCCACCCACACAGTGCGTGCAGCTGGAGAGTGGGGGTGCATAGACAGCGCCCTCATGCCACGCCCCTCTCTTGGGGTCAGCACCCAGCACAAAGGGGCCTTTTAGGTCTGTGCTGCCTCTGCCCCCATGCAAGCTCAATGGGAGCTGTTCAGGCAGCAGGGAGGAAATGTCACTGCTTCCCTGGCATTCTGGGGGCTGGCCCAGCCTCACCTCCCCACGATGGCCAACCGCGATGAAGGCACAGATGGGCTGGAAGGCCCCAGTACCACATGTCAAAAGGTGGGTCCGGTTGTGAGGCTGCAGTACCCGTACGAAGTTGGCACATTCGAGCTAGCAGAGAGGAGGGGACACGGGGGAGCCTGGGCTGTGGGGGGCCTCCCATCTCCCCATCCCAAAGCTTAGCCCAGCCTGTTGGATCACCTCAGGAAGTAGGTAGGAGGGAGCAGCCACAGACTGGGGTTCACACCTAAGCTGGTGAGGTGTGGAGCACGCCCTTCCCACAACACTCACCAAGGGATCTCTTCCTTTTCTAATGCATTCTTCCCTCTGGCCTGGCTGCGGTGGCCACAGGACCTAGAACACAGCCTGGTGAGCCCAGATACGCCCCCAATCTTACACTCTCAGTTTCCCCACTACTCCTTACCTATCCAGCTCACCTCCCGAGGGTCTGGCCGTGTCTGGTCCAGCCGCAGAGAGTACAGGGCATTGCGGCCCCCCAGAAAGAGGCGGTCCCGGTACTCATCCAGGTACACTGCCTGGAGGTCCAGGGGACCTCGGGGGCCCAGAAAGATGGCAGAGCGATTGGCAGACAGGAGGTCTAGGACAGAGGAGAGGGTGGTGGGTCAGCCGACCTCCCCAGCCAAGGGGAAGTGGTGGGCCTCAGCTGTGCATACACACATGTACACATGCATACACACACGTTGGAAAATGTTTCCATCCACAGGGCTGCTGTAAGGCAAGGGGCACACAGCTCGTGAGGTCCAGTGGGATGGGAGGAACGGAGCCTCCACCCAGTCCCCGGCCCAGCCACCTGCCTCCCACTCCTCTGTCCTTTGGCCCCTCTTGTCCAGGAAGATGGCCCTGCTGACAGAACTTAGAGTAGTGGGACTTGGGGGAAGGGTAGGCAGGTCCCAGCAGCACTCAAGGTTGGCTCTGTGGCAGAGGTGGCAGGCAGGACAGCAGCACATCCTGAGCACGGGGACACCTGGAAGAAGCTAGGCATGGGGCAGGCCAGGCTGGCTGGACTCCAGCCTCCAGCTTGGGGCTCAGGCCAGAAAGGACTTTCTCCCTGTGGATGCTGCCTCTCTGGACTGCAGAAGTGGGAGGGGAGATGTCTGAACTCAGGGCTCCCAGGAGTTAGGATCCTGACACAGGTCTTTTGGATTTGACCAGCAAAGTGCATGCATCGTGGAAGAGGAGACTGCCAGTAGGGCGGGTGAGAAGGGGACACAGGCCCCAGAATAGCAAATGCCTTTCCCTACAGGAGCACCTCAGCCCAGCCCTGGCCCCACATCATCCCCAAGGCATCAATAGCCTCTTCCAGGAAGCCCTCCCTGGTTGTCTATATCCTAGGGAACTTCCTCTAGTGGGGGCTGTGTGTGTGACATTGAGGACTGAACCCTTTCTTTTTCATTTTTTATTTTTGAGGTAGGATCTTGTCAGTCACTAATTTGCCTAGGCTGGGATCTGGTTTGCGTTTCTCATCCTCCCCGCGTGCTGGGATTTCAGTACTACTGCAGCCAGCCTGGGGGCTTTTTCTAGTAGCCTGACCTATAGCCTAAACCACAGCTTACAGCGCAAAATGGCTTTTCCCCTCAGACCCTCCAGGGTGGAGGAATGGGTCCCCTCGAAGCTCCAAGGCATGCCTGGACCTCTGGATTCTGTCCAGGGTGCCCAGGGGAAGGAGGGCACTCTGCCTTTCCCAAGAGAAATCTGCCCCAAGGCTGTGTCTCAGGATACCCAGAGGAAGCTGAACCACACACCCCCTGGAGGGCTGCACCACATAGCCCTGGCTGGTGGGTGGAGAGAGAGAATAAAGCCAATTTGAAGGACAGGCTGCAAGAGCTAGGAGAGGCGCCTCCGCTCCCCGTGAGACATACCCTGCTCCCTCCCCAGTCTCTGCTGAGACCCTCCAGACCTTCCCTGTCCCTTCTCTGCCCAGCCCCTACCTGGTTCTCCCAGACTCCACATGTCTCTGCCTCCCTCACCCCTTAGGACAGCCCTGCCCTGTTCACGCTTCCAGAGGCTTGCCTCTCTCCCTACCCTCCCTAGGTCATCCCCAGCCTGGGCATCCCCTTCCGGGACTGGCTGGGATGCCGGAGAGCCCAAGGCACTCATACCACAACGGACAGGACAGGACAACAGACATAGGACAGAAAATGTAGCACACATGGGCCAGTACCTCGATAGGAGAGCCGCAGGCGGGGCACGCTGGCACCGAGACTGGGACTGCCCTCTCCGAGCAGGAGGCCCCCCATGAGAAAGCAGACGGCCCAGGCCAAGGGGGCCATGCTGGGGGAGGAGCCGCCCTTGGGTCCTGCCCTGGCTGTAGTTTGCTCTGTCGCCACCACACCAGCCACTTATAAGGCGGCAGCTCCACCCAGCCCTGGGCGGGAAGGCAAGCCCAGAGGAGGAGGGGAGGCAGGAAGAAACCTCATCCACCTGCCGTCCCCTCTACCTCAGCTGGCAGTGCTGCTCTGGGGAGACTGTCCCAGCTGAGGTGTGGACAGCTTTCTCAGAGAGGTGTTCATACACACAGGTCCCCAAGCTGCAGCAAAGCCATAGTGGAGAAGATAGCCCAAAGGAGAGGTTGGAGATCAGGGCTCAGAGTTAGAATGGCTGGGTGGAGTGTGGACTGGGTTCTGCTTTGCTCTCTGCCTCTCCAGTACCCATAGCAGCGGCCCCCACCTGCGCCCAGATCCAGGACACTATGACAGCCCAGCCCCAAGAGACTGCCAGGCTCCAGGGCCACAGCTCTCATTTCTTCTAGGCTCTCTCTCAGCTCACTGGGCTTGCTTCTGGGTAGGGGACAGGGAACTCCCAATGCTTCCGTGACCCAGCAGCGTGCTCTTCCCAGAGCCCCTTGGGCCACACACACACCTGATCCTGTGCCCCCCACCAATGGAGGGGGTGACTCTGCCTCTGAGAGCAACTTCGGCCCCTGGCCCCTCAACTCCCATTTCACCCCACCCCAGACCCCTACACACAAAATCTGAGGCTTTGGGCACTAAAGACTTCAAGCTTTTGTCTTTTTTTTTCTTTTTCTTTTTGTGGTACTGGGGATTGAACTCAGGACCTTACACTTGCCAGGTAGGCACTTATACCATTGAGCTATATCCCAGCCTAGGGAGATAGCTCAGTAGGATAAGCGCTTGCCTGGCTAGTGCAAAGGCCTGAGTTCAATCCCCATTTCCACAAAAAAACAAAACAAAACAAAAAAAGACTTCAAGCTTAAGCTGAAGCTCCAGGAATCTAGAAAACCCTGCAGGTTAGGCGTTGCAGATAGCATGGCCGTGGCCCTCTGATGGTGGTCAGGAAGCCTGTGGGGTACTCAGGGAAGGAAGGACCTTGCCCCTGTACCCAGCAGACTGAGAACAGTCCAGCTCAGCCCTGCCCCTTCCTGGGACCTTCTTTGCTTCTGGGGCTCCTGGAACCCCCTTTACTCTCCCCATCTCAGCCCTGGGAGGGAAACAGGTTGACCCTCAGTCCAGGGGTACAAAAATTTGTCTCTTTGCCCCATCACATATGCGACCCAGAGCTGCTCAGAGCCTGGTGGCTGCCCATCCCGTCAACACCCCACATCCCGTGGTGCCACCCTATCTGGCCAGGCCCCCTGAGTCCTTGTCCTGCTGGTAACCAACCCCCTCAGGCTCCCCCTACCTCAGCCTTTGGTTGTGCAGGCCTTGGCCCAGACCCTACATCGGTCTTCTCCCAGGGCCAGGGACCAGCCACCCTGTGTATAACAGGGCTCATACATTGGGAGTAGGGCTTATGCAGGGGCAGCTATGGAATGATGCTATCCTGGGACCTCCAAGGGTGGGAAACATTCTGGCACAGAGCCCAGGCTGGAGGCAAGGCCACCATCCAGCTGGAGAGTGGGCCAAACAGCCCTTCTGCCATCATGTGGTCACCATCTGCAGGCAGGAGGCCCAGGCACTCCTCAGCCTGCCATCCCATCCTGGAGGTCTCCGCCCAGCTGAGACCTCTGCTGAGGCTGCAGGGAGGGCTGCATTACTGAGGCAGGGTGCCAGGACCCGCTCACTCCATCACAGGGGCCGGGACCCCAACTCTGTTGACTTGTATGGCCTTGGTCAGGCCCATTCTAGAAAGGGGATAGGATCTCTGCTGAAGGGCCCAGCCTACTGGCTGCAGGTGCGCAGCAGACCGCTGGCCGAATTGGGATCCATGGGCCCAGCCACGAGTATCTGGTGCCAGCTAGTGGACAAATATGGAACTGCCAGAGCTTCCAAAGCTGCGCGCTCCCGCCAGGACCACCCCGCAGGCACCCGCGGGTTCTTAGGGAGGCAGGCAGTAACCAGGCAACTAGCACAGAGGCATCAAGAAGGGCTCCATGGAGGAGGCGATGTCCAGGCAAACGATGCACAGCTCAGAAGTGAAGAGGAAGCCCAGCTAAGTGGACAGAACTAGGTGTACGTACACAAGAAGCCACACCATGAGTGGAGAGGAAGTGCTGAGCCCTGGGCCAACGTGTGTGTGTGTGTGTGTGTGTGTGTTCACATAGCGGGGTGCCTCCAGGTGGGTGGTGGAGAATGGCAGCTCTGCCACACCCAAGTGGAATTCTGGGGTGGGCACATGTGTAAGAACCAATGGTCTACCCACCAGCCCCACACAGCTCGAGCCCACTCAAATCCTCCCATGTGTACCCTGGAGCGCCCACCATAGTTGGGAACATCTTCTGTCTCTCCCAGGACCTGTGTCCTCCACGGGTAACAGATGAAGGCACAGCCAGGAGGTGGTTGGGGCCACCTCTGCTCGACCCAGCACACATGGTTTATTAAGAGGCAGTGCTAGCCAGAGAGGCTGACTGAAGAATCCCGGCCATCTCCCCCCACCCATCTCGTTAACGCTCCACATCGCATGGTGCGACCCCATCTGGCTGGGCCCCAAGTTCTTGTCCTGCTGGTAACCAATCATCTCAGGCTCCCCCTACCTCAGCAACCTAGGGTCCTGCCAAAGTCCCCGAAGGTGCGTAGCTGCCCACCTTGGAAGCTCTGCCCAGGCCACCTCACTGGCATCAGCATGCAGCCTCGCCCACCACCCCTCTAACTCGGCCCCTCTCTCACCCCACTGACCTCCTCTTTCTTAGCTGCCTTTAGGGAGTGCCTGTCACCCAGCCCTCTGCCACCTCTCTACAAACTTCCCAAGACCCTCATGCGTGACTAAAGCCTCATACTGACTGACACCTACATTCACAGTTCTTGCCCCTCGCCCTCCCTTACCTCAGTATCAGCTGTGGCCTTTCCACTCTCCTATACCAAAGGCATCTCACCTGTGATATGGATAAAAAACTGTCTTGTGACCAACCCTTCAAAAATCCCTCACTTGAGTCAACTGTGAAGTGGTGCAACTATAATCCTAACACTCTGGAAGGCTGAGGCAGAAGGATCCCAATTTCAAGCCCAAACTGGACAATTTAGCAAATTAATGAAGTTGCTTTATTTTATTTTTGGCGGAACTGGGGATTGAACTCAGGCCCTCAAGCTTGCCATGCAAGCGCTTATTCTACTGAGCCATCTTCCTGGCCACCGAAATTCTGTTTTAAAAAGGCTGAGAGGGGCCGGGGAGATGGCTCAGTAGGATAAGCGCTTGACTGGCAAACGCAAGGATCTGAGTTCAATCCCCAGTTCCGCAAAAAAAAAAAAAAAAAAAAAAAGGCTGAGAATACAGCCCCTTGTAAAGGTCCTGGGTTCAATCTCTAGTACTGGAGGTAAAGAGAAAAATGTTTTCCTGGACCCAGTCCCAAGGAAACATTCCCAATGGATCAGATTCTACAAAAATTCTAACCTACACCGTTCAAAAGTACCAAGAAAGCTGACAAACAGCCACAGATTTGTGAAAAGCAAGGAGACAGGGCAGTTGGATCACAACAGAACTTTGATTGGTTGCTCCAGAAGGACATGGACAGGGCAACTGACAAATTCTCAGTAAATCTGCAGCTGAGTTAGAAGTTCTGTGTCCATGTTAATTCCCTGGGTTTGATCACTGCCCTGTGGTTACTTAATAATTAAGGTAAGGTAAGCCATGTGCTGCATAAATGGGAGGTCTGTGTGCTATTTTAGCAATATTCTTTTTTTTTTTTTTTGGCTGAACCGTGATTGAACTCAGGCCCTTGCACTTGCCAGGCAAGCACTTATTCTACTGAGCCATCTCCCCAGCCCATTTTAGCAACATTCGTACAAATTTGGAATTTCAAAGTAGAAAATAAAAGTAAACTCCACTCTCCCATTACCCTTCCCCGGTGTCTCTGTTTGCAACTATTGGGAAATTAGGGTTTGACAAAACACTTAAGGGCCATCCCTGATTCCCTAGTTTCTCTTCTATTCAGTCCTTCAAGTTCAGTCTGTTCTAGTCCCAAACTACACCTGAACCCCTACCCCATCTTCTCTTCTACCCCAGCACCCTGCTGTGCCAGAAGCCTCAGGCCTTCATTACCCAGAATCCACCTCTGCCTCAGGAGCTCCTGGCCCCCACAACTCTTTTCCCTTCTGCAGCCCAACCAGCTCCTCACCCTCACATGAGCTGTGCTTCTCAAGAGAACCCAGCTACCAACCTCCTCCCCAAGACTGCTAGAGCTGGGCTTTAAGGAAGCTCCTGAGGCCTTCTCAGCCTTTCCTATGGCTGGTTCCCTGTAGTTCTCCAGGCCTTGCTCAGCATCACCTCCTTCAGGAAGCCCTCTTGGACCACTCTTTCCCATAGGCCCAAAGGATCATTCTAGCCCTGTGCACACATCTCCCTCTGCATTCTCAAGATGACCAGAAATTCCAGGGACTTCAGGACCAGGCCTTGCTCTGATGTGTCCTAGAATCCAAGCTTGGGTCTAGGTCAGTACACACTGAGCAACCACTGGATGATGCACTGGTAGGCTGGGCTGTCCTCCTTGCTGGGTCTCTCTGCGAGCTCTACAGTTCCCCAAGTCTCCAGCTTCTGAGGGCAGGCCTGAGGGGCTCCCTTTTCACTTATCCCAGGCCTCTCCAGGGACCAGGCAGTTCCTGCCAGAGGCATCTCTAGAATTCCAAGAGTGTCTCTGGAATGCCCGGCCTGTCTGGAGGATGCCTGGGCTGGGACACAGGTGCAGAGGCTGCGGCCAGCAGGGCGGAGCCAGGACAGCTGTTGGCATTCTGGTTGAGCTGGATGCCAAGAGCAGCTGTCCCTCCTACAAGAGCCACTGTGGACACCTCCGCTTCTTTGCAACCCCAAAGGCCTGCCTTCCCGAGACCAGACCACTGTTATAGCTGCTGCTCTGGCCTGGGTGTCCCTACTAAGCTGGGAGTCACCAAGCCATAGGCCCCCATTTCTTGTCAGGGAGGGGAGTGGGGCCACTGAGGATACCCCACAAGTGTGGCCCTGTGCTGGGAGTCAGGTGGTCAGGCTCTTTCTGCAGACTCAGCAAGTGACCTGGATTCTATGGGCCCTAGGGTCCTCACCTGCAAAGTGGGTGATGGGATACTGGGCTACTGCACAGCTCTCGGGGCCTGGAAGTCAGTGTTGCTGAGGGGGGCAGCTTGGCTGTGCCAAGGGGCACGCAAGTGCCTCATGCAGCTAACTCATCCCTCCTGCAGAGCGTGGGTGGGCACAGTCAGAGCACAGCTCTGCAGGTGGCCTGCTCAGATGGGGTTGCCAGGAAGGAAGGGACGCTGGGCAGAGTCAGCTCCAGGGAACATCAGAGTCAGATGCCAGGTCTCCCGGAACAAGGCTTTATTTATACTTCCCAGGACAGGAGTGAGGGAAGGAGTCAAGGAGGATCAGGGATTAAGGATACATCCATGCTCAGGGCCTGGGGACCCCAGCCCTGTGCGCCCACCCTGGGCCTGGCTGGAATGGAAGCTGGGGCTTGGCTGCCCTGAGAGAAGGTCAGTTTCTACTCCACACCCTTCATGAACTCCAGGAACTCTGCAGAGAGATGGGCAGGTACAGGTCAGTGGTAGGGCCAGGCAGGGGTGGACAGCAGGGAAATGGGCCCAGCCCCCTACTCACCATCATAGTCAATCCGGCCATCATTATTTTTGTCACCATCCTTCATAAGCTCTTCGATGTCATCCTCCGTGATGGTCTCTCCCGTCGCCTGCAGCATCATCTTCAGCTCCTCCAGGTCGATGTAGCCATCAGCATTCCTGCAAAGAGAGCAAGGGGGCCTCAGAGCCCAGCATGGAATGGGGGGAAGGGAAGAGGCAGCCCCACAATTCAGCAGGCCGGGGAAGGGGCACCAGGAGACAAGTGTGCAGAACGGGATACTGAGGCCCAAGTGGCACAGGCTTGGATCTGGGCTGCCCTCCTTCCCTGGCTCTGCTTGGGTGCAGGTGAGAAGCGCTGTGTCTGCTCACTTGTCAAACATGCGAAAGAGGTCGGACAGCTCCTCCTCGGACTTCCCTTTGCTGTCATCCTTCATGCACCGAACCATCATGACCAGAAACTCATCGAAGTCCACCGTGCCGCTGCCTGGGAATCGGCAATGCGGCTGCCTTATGGCCAGCACCGGCCCCACAGACCCTGTCCTCCCCCACACCCTCACACCAGCTCTGGGAGGCACTGGAGTCACCATGCCTATTTTATAAATGAGATCAGTGAGGCTCGGAGAGGTGGAAGAGCTTCTTTCTGGATCACAGGGCAGGGGTCGGAGCCCCTGGAGAGCCAAGCTGCTTCTGGAAGTTGGGGAGGGGCTGCTGGAGCTCACCATCCTCATCCACCTCGTCGATCATCTCCTGCAGCTCCTCCGGTGTGGGGTTCTGGCCCAGCATCCTCATCACCTTACCAAGCTCCTTGGTACTGATGCAGCCATCCTCAGCACCCAGCACAAAGATATCGAAGGCCGCTTTGAATTCTGTGTCCAGGGGTGGGCATTGGGGGGACAAAGCAGCCAGGGCTCAGCAGCCAGCACCCTGGAAAGCCAGCGCCCTGGGGCCATTTGCCACCCTGCCCAGCTCCCTCTGAGACCCTTCTGAAGTCAGTGAATAGGACTCCCAACTGGTGGCCTCTGGTCTGAGGTTCTCTGGTGGCAAGAGGTCCCCATGCTCCCCCAGCCTGGCTCATTGTCCCCCGTGTGTGAGACAGGAGGCACTCACCATTTTTTTGCTCTTCTGTCAGCTGCTCTACCTAGAGAGGAAAAGTGGTCTCAGGACTCAGACTCAAGCCTTAGCTGCTGCACAGGACACCAAGTCACTCCACAGGCAGGAACTAAAGCAGGTCCACACCACAGAGCAGTGGCCCTCATCCTCCCTTCCTGCCCCCAAAGCCCCCCCACCTGGGCTCACAGAGGCTGGGCTCAGGGTCAGGGCAGCAGGCGGGCACCCCCATCCCAGGACCAAGGTGACCCTGAGTGACAATACTCGGTGACCACTCCATGCCCTTTCGGCTACCCTAATGAAACTCAAGCTGCATGGCTTGAGGGACAGCTGTCCCTCAGGTTGGGACAATAAAACCAATGTGGGGGTGAGCAAAGCCACCCACTGTAATCTGACCTGAGTGGCTAATGGGCTATTTTTAACGGGGGACAAAGTTAAACCTGGTGATTGTTCTGGGGACTTTGGCATGCAGGGGGTGGGGCAGCATTATCTGGCCCCCTGGCCTTCTGGTGCTGCCTCAGGAGCCAAAATTAGTCCCCAGCCCCACCAGACCTTGTATGGGCACTTGTACGCTGCCCCCCCCCAGCTCCCTGGGCTCCTACAGGACAGGCAGAGACACCCTGGAACCAGCTGTAGCTCTGCCCTACTCAGGAGTGGGGCCACATTCTGGGGGTGAAGGAGGATTCTTCTGGGAAGAGCCATCTGGGCCAGGATGTCCTTGTCTGGGGGCAGAGGAACGTTGCCCCTCCCCAATGGAATAGGATCTGAAGCCCCTCGATGACCCTGGAAAGCTGCAGAAACTTGGGGTGACCGCTCTCCAGCCCTCACTCCCTCACCCTCACCACCAGCCCAGCACTACCAGACCCCGTGGGGGCTGGGTCTCCATTGTTGGTTCATTTTCCCTGGCTCCCTCAGGCCCTGCTCTTCCCAGCCTCAAGCTTCAAAGTCCCCCATTTCAGCCCAGGATTCAGGCTCCTTGGCCCATATCACTGTCCCCTTCCTGTCCACTGCAGGATCTTCAGCCAGCTAAGGAACTGGAGGAGGTGGCAAATCAGGGAGGATGAGAAACAGAACGTGAGAGGTAGAAATGGGGGCAAGGGCAGGGGGAAGGCGACAGGGACTCAGAGCTCAACAGATACAGAGGTGGAAAGAGACAGAGAAAGGCAAAAAAGCCCAGAAAACTGAGATAGAAATGGAGAGAGATGTGGGTGAGGGTCAGTGACCAACAACAGACACTCAGAGACACAGAGAAGACAGGATGCTGAGCGCCCTTCTACCCTCCGTGACTGCTCCTATCCACACCCTGATGCCCACTACCCCTTCTTGTATCCTCAAATGCCAGCTCCACCATCCCCTCAGGGTCTGTGCTGAAGGTATGGGGAGCTTCTCTTGAGCCCAGCACTTTTCTGGGTGACCCTGCCCCCCATTCTGAGCTGGGCGATCTCCCAGTTTACCCACCCCAGTCCTTCCCAGACCCTTCCCTTACCGCAGCCTTGTAGATGTCATCCATGTCAGCGGTTCACAGGGCAGGCTGCTGGGGTTGCCAACCAGCACTCAGGACTCAGCTTAAATAGCCCTGCCTCCTGCATTCCCGGCCCAGCCCACCGGCGTGCTGTGCATAGCAGCCTCCACCCCCTATTCTGGTTGGGGTAATCCCTGGCTGGCCTGAGTCCCCAAATCCTCTGTGTGGGCAAAGAGCAATGAAAGCTGCAAGGACCAGGTCTCTCATCCTCTGCCTCCACACCCCACTGAGGACTCTTACGAAAAGTTTCTTTTTAAAAAAAAAAAATTTTTTTTTAAATTTTATTTATTTATGTGTGTGTGTGTCCAGCTCAGCCCACCAGGGGGCGGGGCCGGCTGGCATGTGGTGCTGGGGGATTGAACCGCGGTCCCTGTGCTTTGCTAAACTTGTTCTAAGTAGGTGCTTTAGACCACTGAGCCATCACACCAGCCCACGAAAAGCTTCTTGAATGAATGAAAACATTAGTCTCAGGCCAGAGGGGCAAAGTAGTAGGCCAGCTTCAGCCTTCTATCTGGTCAAGAAAATGGGTGCTATTGCCCCCACTTTCTGGATAAGGAAACCGAGGCTTCAGGAAGGGAACTGATTTGCCCAACGTCTGGTTCAGGGTACCTCCAGACTCAGGGTACCTCTCTCTGGAGTGATGGGAGCATAAGACCCTGCCCACAGCACTCAGAATGCTGCGGCAGGAAGATCCTTGGGAGTTAGACACCAGCCTAAGCTACAAAGTGAGCTCAAGGCCAGCTGAACTGCATTGCCAGACCCTGTCTCAAAAAGACAAAAAAAAAAAAAAAAAAAGGGGAGCGCCGCGGTGGGGGACTGGGGAGATAGCTCAGCGGCATAAGCACCATGAGCGAGGGCCTGAGTTCGATCCCAAGTACCAAAAAAAAAAAAAAAACAAACCCTGCCGAGAGGAGCCTTGTATGCCAACCCCGGAGCACAGTGATGTGGTACTGCTGAGGAACCACCGACACCCTTTTGGACCAGACCTCGAGTTCTTTAGCTGGAGTTACCCAGGAGACACGTTTCAGCCCGCCCCTCCAACCCCCATCTCCCCAAAAGAGCCATGCGCCCTCTGGGCGGGAGTCAGCTGCACTCACGCCTGTCAACAAACACGCCCAGGTGCGCGCCAGCCGTGCCAGCCCTCCCGCAAGCGGAGAGCTGATCCTCGGGCCCCTCCCGGCCAGGGCCGCTCCGCGAGGAGCACTGTAGCTCCCGGCCCCGGCTCAGTCTGCTCTCCCTGAGCTTCAGCTCCATGCTAGGGCCCTTGCGCCAAACGGCCAGCACCTCCCTTCCGTCTGCCTCCCCGCCCTGGATAAACACGCCTGTCTCTGCCTCTGTCTACACCACGCGCGCGCGCAGAGCGCAGGCTGAATTAGCCCGGGGGATTCTGCAGGACCCGGGCGTAACGTAGGCGACCACCGCGTGAGACGCGCTGCTCGAGTCTCCTCCGCACAGGGACGGAACTCCGCAGCTAGGAACGCCATTACTGCCTCCATTTCCCACAGGGGTAAACTGAGGCCCGGCGAGGCAGTGACTTGCTTCGAGTAGCTTCAGGGGCCCGGGACCTCAGTCCTTCCTTCCCGAGGACCTGGGGTGTCAAAGGGCACCAAGTTTTCCGGGCCGAAGGCGCAGGTACCCTAGACAGCGCAGTCGGGTCCCACGAGCTGCGCACGCGCGCCGGCGGCGGGCCCGTCAATTACGGCGAGGGGCGGGGCGAGGACGTGAGAGGGCGGCGGGGCCAAGATGGCGGCGCGGGCGGGGGGCTGCGGGGCCCGGGGGGCGGTGGGACGCTGACCCCGCCCCCCGCGGCTGCCAGTCGGAGTCCGGAGCTGCGGAGCCGGAACATGGCGGCGGCGGCGGCGGCGGCGCGCGGCTTCGGGCCGGAGCGGGAAGCGGAGCCCGCTAAGGAGGCGCGCGTCGTGGGCTCCGAGCTCGTCGACACGTACACGGTGTGCTGGGGGCGCGGTACCCGAAGCGGGGTGGAGTCCGGACCCGGAGGCCAGCGGCTCGGGGAGGGGTCTGGGCCCGGCAACTGCGAAGACTGGGGCTTTGGGTGGGAGACTGGGGGGCAGCGTGGAGCCCGCAGGTCCTGGAAGAGGGTTCCGGGGCAGGGTCGGAGGGGAAGGAGATTTGGTTGGGAGGAACCTCGGGATAATGGAGGCCTGGGCTGGGGGTTGTCTAGGTGAGGCGGAGCCCTAGCTCTTCCAGGCCTGCCAGGGACCCGGGCCTGAGATAAGTGCTCAGGGGCTCCTGGAGGAAGGGGACTGGGGAGGGCGCCGTGGGTGGCTGCGATGGAGAGGGCTCGGAGCCCGCAAGTCGCAAAGGAGAGGAGGCAGGATTCTGACCTGGGTGCCCGGGATCACGGTGCAGGTTTGTTGTGGAAAACGGGGAGGGACCTAGGGGGGTCCATGGCCTTGACAGGGCGGCACGCCGCCCCCGCAACTCCTAGGCTATAGAGGAAAGAGAAGACCGAAAAGGACGATATTTCCAGACTGCGATGGGGCTGAGGCTTTCTTGGGTTGGGATACCAGGTCTCTGAGTCTGGGGGTGCTGCTGGTGAAAACTTGCTCTGGGGTGGGGGTTCACTGAACATCTAGGCTCCTTTGTTCTCAAGAGGATGGGGAGTGGGTAGGAGCCTTGGCTCTGCCTGTGCCCCAGCCCCTTGACCTCCTTCCTAATCCTCCTTCTTGAGGTCCATTCCTCTAGCTTGCTTTTTCTGGGGTCAGAGGGAGGGAGCCTCCGCCTGAGTGGGAGAAAGGGGGGTGGGGCGGATCCTGGAGCAACAGGCCAGACCGGGAGAAATGGCTGCTCCTCTGGGGTACAGGCTTTTAGCTGTTAATCCTCCTCTCCCTTTTCTGCTGCAGACAGGGGCGGGAAATCAGCTGGAGGGTCATCTCCAAAAAGCTCTTCCTGTTTGGGGTTCTGCCTCTCCTTTGGATGTGAGAAGGGATGGTAGTAATCCAGGTTGATCCTGCTGATACAGGACCAAATGATGTAAGGGAAATAGAACTCCCAGCCTGCTAGATGGCCCATATGCTAAGTTTGTGTTCGGTAAAATAGTAGAATGAAGTCTGAGGAACAGTGGAAGATAAAAATGTAAAATTTTATTGAGGAGAGGCAGTTTCTGAGAGACAGAAGGGGCCCAAGGGGGTTGCCTTGGACCCCACTTTCCAGGGGAAGTTTTATACAGCAAAATCATGAGGTAGCTACGAGGTGGGATGAAGCGAGGTGGGATGAAGCCATGGTCAACCAATAAGATTACAACTATAGCCGCTTAGGTAATACTGATCCAGTGAGGAAGCAAGACACCTATCAAGTGTACCTGGAAAGAATGAGAAGCTTTTTTGGGAAGAGATGAATCAGGAGTTCCTGATCACATATTTGGGTCTGTTGAGCCCTTACTGGATCAGGTGTTGCCAATTGTCTTACTTTTTCTCTTTGCTGAAACCAAATACTTGACAGTTAAATGGGTAAAAATTGGGGCCAGGGAGATGGCTCAGTAGAATAAGCGCTTGCCTGGCAAGCTCAGGGCTTGAGTTCAATCCCTGGTTCCGCAAAAGAAAAAAGGGGGGGGGGTAAAAATTTATTTAGCTCATAGTTTGTAGAGGTTTTAGTCCATAATCAGCTGACTCCAAGGTAGGGTGGCTTTGCAGAGAAGTGTTGTGGAGCCCAAAGTACCAAAAGCAACAAGGGACCTCAACAGTGTCTTTCTGCCCCTTATGTAGAATCCAGGCCTCTGCAATTAGGCAGTGCCAAACCAGTCAGTGGACTGATGTAGTAATCACCCACTCTTAATCCTAACGTTGCGCTGTGAATCAATCACACTTGAGATTCAGCTGCATCTGGAAAAACTCCACCTATGACTACATGAGGCTGGGGGGGGGTGATATCTAGATACAGATACAAGCCATAACACCAATTATAATATATCACATTCCTTGGGAGGGAATGTAGGCTTGGTCATTCTGCCTTTATATTGAATCCTGGCCTTCAGTAGATGCACCTCCAGCCATAGTTGTAATGTATTCTCATCTACACTGACTCCCCGAGGATCTAACCCAGTCTGACTGCCTCTTAATATTTCTGCTAACTTAGCTGTCTATAATCTTACCCCATCAGAAGAGGTATCATCCCTGACTGCCGTGAGGGGCAAGGGGCAAAGATCATTCTGACTACTTCTGGCTGATGTGGGTCATAGTTGTGATTGTTGGCTCTTATGACAATGCTTACTCTTTTTTTCTTTTTCTTTTCTTTTTTTTTTTTTTTTTTTTTTGTATTTTAGGAAAGGATCTACAGGGTGTTAAGGTTCTCACTATTAGATCAGACTCGTAGTGATCTGCCTGTTTACAGCCTCCCAAGTGCTGGGATTACAGGCGTGTGCCACCATGCCCAGTCTCAATTGCCGTCAGTGTGCCCTGGGGGCAGGGCTGGCATGTCAATCCTAGGGTGGTAAAGGCCCCTACACCTGCTTGCAGAGGATGCTTATTCTTAATAGGGGTTCTACTACAGTCTGTAGTAGGATTCAGTGGCATTTTTAGAAAAAATTAAGTTATGTCCAGGATCATTAAGGGTGTAGTTTATAGGCCACTCACTTACCTTGTAATGGGTATTCAGATGGTAGCTCATACTCAGCGACAGTTTCTGGTTCCCAAGACTTAAGTCAGATATAGTGAATCCAAGAGTCCAGGCCTGCTACCTTGCCAGCTGATGGAGTTGACAGAATCATGGCCTATGGGCCTACACAAGGTGATCCTAGGGAAGGAAATGATGAAGGCAGAGACTTCACCAGTCCTAAATCTCTTGGGTGGAATATGGGATTTCCCTTTTCTTTAGCCTGAGTTTCTGTTAGCTGTTGAATATTCTGTTAGAATTTAGTCAGTGACATCCTTTAGTAAGGCTTCTGTTCCTCTATTCAAGAGAAAATCATTAGTGAAAAAACGGCATCCATAAAGCATTTCAAATGGAGTGCGGTCTTAAAATTGAGGTGTATTTCTTTGATTACAATTAAAGGTGGTAAATGACGCCACT